CCATCTCTTATTACCTACTACCTAAAAAAAAAAAAAAAAAAGTATCAAGGATGAAAAAGAAAAGCACGAAAGATTAGAACGAATGGAAGAAAAAAAAAAAAAGAAAAACGAAAAACACGTAGGTGATAGGGTATGTTTTGCTGTTTGCAAAACAGCGAAAAGAATACCTGAGGATAATTCAGGCGAGTTGGGAGATAGCAACTCCAGAGTTATATTCTTGTTGCAGTACTCTTTATCACAGCAGATGCTGGACCGATAGATACCCCGCTTTCTGTTGCAGGACTGCGGTTCTTCCGGTGGGAACCATTGCTTTCGGTCGAGGCACCTTTCACAACATCACAATGCCACGTTTAATTTCAACAGTTCGTTCTCCACCGTGTACCAAACGCGCGATTTTACTGCTTTTCCTCTTTTCAACCGACTAATCTTTTCAAATGCTTCGCACGCGAGCAAATTTCTCTGTTATTTCGGCGTTCGTTGAACCGTGGCAGTTGTCGTATCATTCGGATAATTAAATTGATATTGAAAATAATTTAACATCGAGCATGTTTCACGTGATATGTTTTTTCCCCTTTTTTCTTTTGAATAAATATGGCTATGAAAAGTATCGTCATTGTATATCTTTTATAGCGACGAGAATATGACGATGGCTCGTAAGTGTCAACCGATCTTGGAAAAGAAAAACGAAGCGTGTAAAATTTGATGCAGATTAATCATGTCACTTAATCGGTCGATATAGCAGGAAATTGTCTCGTGCCGCTTTCACGTCTCGACCAATCAAATAATCTCGGTCGTGCTATTTTCGATACGATCTCCGGCTGAATTATCCGAATTATCCGTCTGGCGCATTAAACATTTAGGCCCCGTCCGCACGTCTGCGACCTCAGACTATCGTAGATCGTCTCGGTCGATTTCGTTTGATTTCGAAACTGCGTATCGTATCGCATCCTTTGTATATCTCACATACATCGTCGTTAAATTGCCATACGAGCAAATAATAGGAAAATTAATGCATCAAATATCGATAAATATCGTATCCTAAATATATTCCATTCGATTTAAAGATTTTGTTAACATGTTCGAATATTATTTCATTCTTTGTATTACCCAAACAATAATAAGAAGTTTTGCGTTTCTATCAGACGGCTCAGATCCTCGTCGATAATAAAGAAAGTTTCTTCGTCTGCAGAGCCAAAGACCAACAATTTTTCCATACCAACGAGAACCTTTGAATTCTCTATTGAATAGTAACGGACCCTACTTGTTTACCGATTAACGAAGTCTTGCCAGAAAGAGCACAAGAAAAAAAGTCCAATACGAAACAATAACAATTATCTTTTTAAAATAAAATGCACAATAGATGTTCTGTCATATTTTCTACTAGAATTTTATCGATAAATATGATACATGGCTACCCCCACGCTCCCTTCATCAAATCAAGAATAAAAAATGAACTGAAAAGAAAAGAAAAAAGATCAAATGGAATATAGATCGCAGGTAGTGGTGTTCACGAAACTTCTCGAAATTTCTGTTTAGTTTGTAACGAAGAATGGACGCGAGGATAGGCACGTTCAAGCGTTACCAACGCGACCACCGGCCGACAACAATAATTCGTTTCCGTCGAAACTGCCGAAACATGCGCTAATCATGCCCAGTAGGGCCAACTGAAAAAAAAAAAGCGGCTAAACGTTCCTGGAAACTACAACGAGGGAATCGATCGGTAACCGAATGGAATCGGACCGTTGAACTTGAAATAACATATTTGGCCAACGACGAATCGATTTTTTTATTGTCGTTACCGAGTATTTTGATATTTTTAATTTTCTGAAATTAAATTAATTAAAATGTTCAATTGAGAAATACTCGATTAAAAAAAGAAAAATTGGTTTTCTCGAGCAATTTTGAATATTCGAATTTTTAAAACTACTTTATTTCCTTTTTTTTTTTCTTTTTCACTCGGACAACTCCAATGCACGAAAAAATTTTTCACAACGAATCCGTTGATTATTCCGCGATATTTCGATAAAAACTCGAAGGTAATTTAAAAACCGACAATTATGTAAGAACGATAATCGTTATCTCGCATATTTTCGTACGGTTTTACGCGATACACGATAACAAGAAGTAACACCGTTTCCACACCGTCGATCGCTCGTTTTTATTGTTATGCTCATGATTTATATCCCCTTCCATAACGTTTAATTAACGCTGAAATTAAGTTCGAGCATCATTTTTGCCGTATATACATATATATATATTCGAGCCGTTGCATTACGTTTGCTACATCAACGCGATAATCACGGACATTGTATTCTATTTCAGATAACGAATGTTATTTTATTTCTTAACAAAATTAATTATCGTTCGACGAGCGTATCTACACGCATTTATCATATTATTCGTAATTATCTATTGATGATATATTTATTCGACGGATATATTCCATTTCAGAAATAGATTATTTAATATATTAATCGAGTATACGTTTTTCCTGTTATAAACATATACACAGAGATAAATGAAAATATACAGACAATGATATAATTAAAAATTGGATATAAATTCATGGACGATGATAAATATTTCATGGGAAATATCGTATTACGTTACATATCGATATTAAATCAAACCTGTATTCAAATTAGGGAGGATAACGTAAATACTATTTTCGAAATTATTTATCGCTTTTTACCATCGATCTGTATGTATAAATCACGAATATCATTGTCTCCCGTATATTTTCATATATCAAATGATAATTCAAAACGTCCCGCGCCACACTTCACGCGGGACAAACGATCTAATCGATTCATAAATATCGAAATATTTCGACACGTAGAAAAAGAACCGGTTCTAAATCGAACCAGACTCGAGCGAGAACGAGTGAGCTAAATAAGAAATTCGATCGGTTGGAAAACGATGAATCAAGGGAATAATATATATTTTTGCGTGTGAATAATTAACTCTGTTGGCTAAAAATATTCTATGCGAATAGGTTACCTCTTAGCGTATGTGGTCACATCGTTCTCCAAGCTGGTGCTGGCGAAGCAATAGCCATCGGTTTCGCACGTGTGATTGGTCTCCGTGCAAATATCGCAATAACACTTCAGTCCTGAAAAAGATAGACAAATAAAAAAATAAAAAATTCCATCAAGGATAACGAGAATGTCGAGTATCATCGAATGTGTAGATATAGGAGTATACTTGAGTATACTTCATTTTTTTTTTTTTATTTGTATAAATAACTGGACGAGATAAGAATAAATGCGACCTCCCTTGTTTATATATTACTTAAATTCAAACTTTTTTTATTTATCATAAAAATATAAAAGGTAAAAATTATCAGTAAAATAAGTTGGTCGAATTCATTGGTCTGTTAAAAATTTATTCTTATTTTTTTTTTGTTCCTTACAATTCATGCAAGAATGCATAAAAAGTGACGCATGTGAAAAAACGAAAGAAGAATTAAAAAAAAACATTCAAATATATTCAAAAATGTTGTGTTACAAACAATTAGCGCGGAATATATGAGAAATTAATTTTGTTATAATTAGTTATAAAGTTTGAACAATTGGAAAGAGTAAGTAAATTGTACTCCTTATAAGATATTAATTCGGCAGGAAACCAACAAGATTCGAATATGTTTATGCAACTACTTAAATGGATCGCGTTAATAATCGTGTACAAAGCAATGCGATTATAACTAATAAGTTTGGCGAAAAAAGAGTCGCCTTGAGTGCAATGCAATTATGAAGAAAAATGATGGCAACATTATTTCTTTCGGTAATTTATCACGCGCTTGATGACGCACACCATTTCGATCGCACTATATTTTTTTCCACTCGAACCTGGCCAGGTGTATACCGAGATAATAGCACATCAAGAACCTCGATAACACCGATTATTAAGGTTCTTCGGTTGAGAAATTTTGCGTTCTTCGATTTTACAAGAAAATTCACTTCGAAGCAAAAAAAGAATAAAAATAAAAAATACTAAAAAAAAAAATTCAACCAATGCAAAACAACAAAACCAATTTCCACAACAACATTTTTCTATGCATACAATTTTCTATATCATTTATAATTCGATCTTTCGAAATATTCGCAAAAATAATTTCTATCCCACGTATGAATCATATTTACAACTGTTCAAGCGAAGACCTAGTTTATGGAGAAAGAAAAAAATGAAAAAAAAAAAAAAAAAGGGAAATCGGTTCGAGGAAATAATTTGGTAATATTTCTCCATGCTATGTAAGCAGAACACATGGTTTCGGAGAGGTGGTACGACTTGACGAAACGAGTTTAATTCAAGTCATTAGCGCACGCCCACATCGAATGGTCTGTTGCGGGCCGAGCCCACCTCTTTCGCCGCGTGAATACGCAGACACTGGAGGGGCCACGAAACTCGAGGAAATATACCTGTGTATGGAATTCGCCGAGCCCCATAAAGCGTTTTTTGCGCGCCCACGAGATCCGCTACGGGGCCCTTCCTGTGGCCAGAAAGATTTGTACCGAACGAGCTCTGTGTAAATTCGAAAGAGATCCGTTCTTGGTATAGCATGGTCTAGGTCCGTGGATTTTTAATCCTTTCATCGAGGCTACGAAAGGTAAGAGAAGAAGAGAGAACTTGTTGGCCATGTTTTTTTGAACATGTGGGAAAAATTTGGTGCTAGACTTCGTTCCGAGTGAATTGTATAGGTGTATTGTCGGTAATGATTGATGCTAAATTAATTGAAATTTCGTAAGTTTCTGAGTTCAAAAAAAAAAAAAATTTTTTCTAATTCAATTATAGAAAATAAAATAATTTTAAAAACAATGATTCGACAGTGAAAAAATTCTTTGATGTAATTTTATTACGCAACGAAAACATGATATTATATAAATGAAGCTTCAGAGGAAAATAAACAATTTGTTATAATACAGAAATATTTACATTCACATACAAGTAAATTTTTGACGCTCTTCTCTTCTTTTATACACGCGCTGTTCTTAGCAAAAATAATTGAAAATATATCTTTTTTTCTCTGATCGAAATTGTATCTTTACCGGCTATCGTAGGTCAAAGTCTTTAAAAGAGATCAGAAACTTTTTTCACTTCATCATACATACGTACGTACATTTACAGATAAATCAATAGAGATACTTTCATTACTTTCAATACCACAGTTCTACTACTCTTGAAAAAAGTTTTCAAAAAAAGAATCCTAACCTCATTTATATATATATATTCCGCAATTATTTCTCCATTCATATAGTTCAAGGATTAAAATAATACTGTTTTACATACACGATATTATTCGATATAGTATCAAGTAGTATATATAGACCGAATACAGATCAAAGTAAGGCAAATGTTACGAGAAACTTTCATCGCGAACTGCTTTTGTGGGGAGAGAATGACTATTCTGCGCAAACTCACCGCACCGAGAACAACTATAATCGAGTTAAACGGCAAACTGGTAACAAAACATCAACGAAACGAGAATTCCACCCGTACGTGGCGATATTAAATGCGAGTGTTTAACGCCGTTCTGCATAATTTCACATCGAGCATCCATGCACAAGAGACCCCTATCTAAATAGCATACATATTCCACTTTAGCATGTAGATCGACTATTTTGAGGTTATATTCGTTTCTTGCGTCGTTCTTTTGCGAAGAAATTAATCACTTTTGAACAAAACCGTCACATATTTATTATAACGTTTAATTAATTAAATCCAGACATATTAAATTTCTCACCATTTAATATTCCTATTTGATGACAAAAATTTAATATCGTGAAAATGAAATTAGAAAAAATACTTGAAACAAAGTTATATACAAATATTTTTACAATATTATCATATTGTCTCAATACATTTTCAACAATACATTTTAGTCTTTTGTTCATTTAAAAACAATTAAAACATGATAAAAATATATAAAAATAAAAATGATAAACAACACGAAACTTTCAAGAGTGCCACCTAGTGACACACGTGACTGTAAGTTAGACATTATGGAAGACAAGGTAGCCAAGCTAACTAGACACGGATCGACCGATCCCTTCGCGATATTCCCTATCAATTACCTTCCGGAGATTATCTTTGGAGGAATTGTTGGGCAAGCAATAACGCTGTAACGAGGCCCGTTCGCCGTGTAATTTATTCGATAGCGGAGATTCGTGATTGGTCGCATAACCATTGCGCGATTTGTATTTAGACCTAATTTACGATTCAACAGTATTGCCACGTAGAGGACTCGAATTCCGTATTCATGAGACCGGGATACATGAATATCTGCTACAATATAGAGGGCGCTACGTTACTTTGACGCACATTTGTAAGCTAATAATGAAAAAGAAGAGAGAGAGAGAGAAAGAAAAAAAAAATTAACAAGAAATTGAAGTGTGAAAAGAAAAAATGATTTTCATACGTATCAATTCGTATTTTAATTAGAATAACATCTATATTAGAAAAACAGATTTTGAAAGCAATAAAATTAATTTTTATCGAATAAAAAAAATTCTAAGAATTAATTTACAAAATCAATTCTAGACTTAAAACAACTAATTGAATAAAATTGGTGTAATAAATGGTTGAGCGTGTTTAAACAAGTTGCCGCAAGATCGTTATTTTCTTAAAATTAAGTAGACTAGTTCCGTAATCGTGGACTTGGAGTATGTTACCAGACTGCTTACAAACTACATTAAGCGTAATGGTTCCGTATTCACGGTTTTAGCTACGCCAGTCTGCTTACAAATTGCGGTAAACATGTCCGAAACTTTCCTTCCTCGGGTGTTTTTTTACTTTTTCCATCAGAGAAAAAAAAAACTATGTTTCTTATACACCGTCCGCCAAAATAAACGATTAAATTCCAATACGAAAAATATCAGGAGGCAAATAAAATATATCTTAAGAACAAATTCTAAATATTCGAAAAATTTTAATTAAAATATCTTTTAAATATTATAAGATCTAAATCGGTTTCGTTTCACTTTATGCGATAAATGAGATATCGGGTTAGGTTAAGTTAATCTAACAATAAGTTAGATTAAAATATTTCACATTTAAAATTCAAATCAATTTCATTTCAAATCATTTTCAAGATGATAAATGAGGTGTCTTACTTACTGTGAAAACAGGGATCCAAAGGAATATATAAATTAAATTAAAGTTGAATTAGGTTAGGTTAGGTTAGGTTAAAAATACGTTTTAAAATTTTATTTTATTTCATTTTGATAATTAAAGTGTCTTACATTATTCATATGAAAAAGGGAAAATGTAATAATAATACAATTTAGGTTAGATTAATTTTACAATAATGTATCTTTATATATATTCGATGTGGAAGAGGAATGATATAAATGTTAGTTATGAAAAGGAAACTAATTAAATTTCGGATTAGGTTAGGTTAGTTTAATCTACGTGATGAGTGAAAGTGATAGATTAAAGATATACTAGACTTGGCTTATGTCCATTTAATTTTTGCCATAACTTCGTTAATTATAAAATTGGTGCAAATATTCAGACAATTGTTGGCCTGCCGGATCACACGTCATCGTCATCTTCTAACCTAAATGAAATATGACAAAAAAAATTTTGTTTTCTAATATTAATAATTAAAACTTGACAAATTTGCATTAAAAATAATTATTGAATTTGGATTGAAGAAACAAAAATTTCAATTGAAATAATTTCTAATCGTCCATTCATTACGTGATATTCCCGAAAATTCCTCCAACCAACAAGGACCAACTTTGTTTAGGTAAGCTCTCGACATCATCCTCTTAAAACTAGGCAAACTAGCGCCCATAATCAAACCTGTAAGCATACCACCAGACTTGCCCATGAATTGGATTAAGCTCGTTCATAAGTATCCCAACGTCCTTTATTTACATTAAAAGACACAAGCTTCTCATCCTCTGAACATCCTTGATAATACTTTCTCTCTCTCTCTCTCTCTCTCTTTTATCGAGAGATCAAGCTTTCATATATAAATGATAAAATTGCATTAATTCGGTTAAGAAATTAAATCCTGATTTGAATTTGAATAAACGTAATCTCAAAATAATTTTTTTTATTCCAATATTAATTATAAGATAGTATAACTATTATTAAAATTTTTTTTTG